GCATGCAACTTTTAATACTTATTCAAACCTTTTCCACGCTAACATTCTATATATTCTACATGGATAACGGTATCAAAGAAAAATAATATAGTCGGCCTATGCTGTTCCAGCGGAAAATAAACATTGCCTAAGGAGGTGTTTTTTTTCCTAACTAGTGGCTCTCGCCACATCCCTAGTTCCCTACAGCCGTAGTTGTCGTGATCTCATCTCGCCGCTGCCAACATTCTGGCCTTCCATCCTGATGGCTACCTTGTCAACATCTAATAAGCACAAATTTTGGCATTGTTGTTCCGGCTTTCAAATTCATGGTGTTGATCTTTAAAGAAAATATGGCACCACCCTCATCAATCTAACCTCCATCACCAGCGCCGTCTTTGTGGTTCGAGCTTGAATCTTCGGCATGCCCTCATCTCACCTCACCTACAAAGTCACAGTTGTTCTAGATTCGATCCATAACGACATCCCCTATTATAAACGATTTTTTAGAGATGTATCAATTTTTTTTATCCACGGTTGTATCATGAACTACGTCTAAAAGTGGGTCTAGAGACGGACTGTCCGTAGAGATCAATTTCTAGAGTCAATTGCATTTTTAGAGGCGGTTGGTGTTTGTAATTGCCTCTAGAAATACTATTTACATGAGCGGCTGGTGCTACAAACTGCATCTAAAAATAAAACCATTTCTTGAGGTGATTGATAGAAATAGCATTTCTAAGGGTAATCATATACCGACCGCCTTTAAAAATCAATCTGGCCTATTATCTCGAATACCTAATCTATGGACTTTATAGGCTCCAAACCCACAGGTCTTCTACTCTCTTGCCTCTCTATCTTTTCTTTAACCACAACAGCCACCAAAGGCCTCTCACCCACTCTCTTCTATCCACTCAGCATACCCACCCATGTCTCTATTTTCTCTTTACTCCACATATGACCTCTCTTTTCTCTACCCTACAATAGGGGCCTCGGCTGATAGACTCAGAGTGATAGCACGGCCTCGACGAAGTGGTTCAGATGGCGGCACAGTGGGGCCATGTTGAGTGTATTAGGTAGGAAGGTGCTTCGCCTTGGCGGATCCGACGGGAGAAGGGCTCGGCCATGGCGGATTTGGCGAGTGAAGTGCTGGCCACAGTAGGCAGTTAGGTACAACCGATTTGATGGCCAGCCACAACAAATCTTACTCATCCAAAATGGATGTGGTGAACGGCTAGCGAATGGCAATGGTGTTATGCATATGGTCATCGTGCATCTTTTTATAAAAGTCGGTTTCTATAGACGAACCACTCCGCCTCTAGAAATTCAATTTTTAGCTGCGGTCTTGTAGCCACAGCTGACGAACCCGATTTTATTTGATCGATAGTGCAAGTCGGTTTTGTAGTATAGTGATCATCATCCCGTCGTTGTCGTCGGCATGGTCGAGCTCCGTGCTTGCCGCTTCAGTGCATGTCTTGTTCATTGCCTCAATTTGATCCATGCTTTCTTGAAGTCAAACACTTGAGGTGCTGCAAGCCCTGCGCAGCTCCAGCACCATGGTTGCCGTAGGTGTTTGTCTAGGCAAGGACGGGCAATGCATGGTAACGGCGCCGATGGCCTTGAGCTCTGCGCTTTAGCTCTAAGCATGCAACAACGGCGGCGAGCATTCTGACTCCAGGCAGCCTGTAGAGGCTAAAGCTAGCTTTGAAGTCTAGAGGACTGTAAACTTACAGTTGATTTATTTAATTTACTTCTCCCAAACAAACAATGACAGAGAATGAACACATTTTAATTACACTGGTAGGTTGTGCGCATGCAAATACAAGTGGAGTGGTTTTTTACACTTGTAAGTGATTATTATTTATTACTATGCGTCCAGACAAGGCCTACGAGAGTTAATAATCATATAATTGATAATGGTAACATGAGAAAGCACTGTGCATAAGATTTTGCACTATATACCTTAGAAGAATTGCGCGCTGATGACGACGTTGGTAAATTTGGTTTTAATCCTAGAAAAACACTGCAACTTGTGTTTAACCTATTCGGTCGTCAATGTGGACCGGATGTCACCTTGGACATTGGCTACCTCTCCTCCACGTTCTATCTGCGTCCTAATGTTCATCTCGTTTCGATCGCACTTCACCCATCCCAGTATCTATCTACATGCATGTTGATGACTCAGTTTTTTGTTACCTTGTAGATAGAATCATCGTACCATCGCACACATATACGGCTGGATCAGCGTTATATAGCACTAGTAACACCAGAAAAGGCTAGCTCCTAGCTTAGCTGCAGGGTTAATCCTAATTATATATATCCACCATGGACGATGCTGTGCGGACTGCTGGTGCTGGCCCTAGCACTGCGCGGTGGGGCCGCCGCTCGACTCTCCTTCTGACGTGGTCGCTGGCCGAGTTCGTGACCATCTTGGTGTACGCCTTCGCCGGCCGGCTCTGGGGCTTCGTCGTCGCCGGCGTGCTCCTTGCGCTCGTGTTCATCTTCACGTGCTACTACCTGCGGCGCTCGAGGGGGTCGGAGGAGTCAACGGTGGGGCAGCAGCCTGCTGAGCCACGACCGCACCAGCTGCAGGCCAACGGCGGCGTTGGCCTCAGCCAGGGGGACATCAAGGCCATCCCGGCGTTCGAGTACCGCGCGGCGGACGGCGGCGGCTCAGGGCCGTCGTCGTCGTCCTCCGCGGAGGAGTGCGCGGTGTGCATCAGCGTCTTGCGGGACGGGGAGACGGTGAGGAGGCTGCCGGCGTGCGGCCACGCGTTCCATGCGCTGTGCATCAACGGGTGGCTGCGTGGGCACGCCACCTGCCCGATCTGCCGTGCCGGCATCAAGGTCGTCGCCGGCGATGACGGCGAGCCATCCCCAGTGGCGGCGGCTGTGTAGTACAGTATGTTGGCCACATTTGTGATTTGTTTCCTAGTATATCTCATACTAGTGACATGTTAGGAGTTCTTGCTTTGACTTTCATTCAAGTGGAGTTGGTACACACAGTTCGATTTAGCATGTTCTTATAGTAGATTTTGAGCATAGGTTCTTGTACGGTATTACTGTTGTTTTAACATTCTGAAAGTTAAAGATATAAAATATAACACAAATATTTTATACTACTCCCTCTATCCTAAAATATATAAAATATAACACAAATATTTTATACTACTCCCTCTGTCATAAGATATATAAGGTATTAACGTATTTAAAATTTGTCACAAATTATAAGGTATTATAGGTGAATTAACTCCCCAAAACACCAATCACATGTGTATCCACCATAAGTGTCGACCACCAGACTCAAATATATGGTAAGCACAAGGTCTCTCCATATTTAAGTGAAGGCTACATGTGTCCATTTGGCTTATCTAATAATTTATCCTAAATTCCTAAGATACTTTATATTCTAGGACAGATGGAATATATATTACTCACTTATAAAAAAGTGCATAATGTTTTTGTTGTCACTCATGCTTGTGTTCACCCATTTCACCCGTTGCTCCAGTTTCACCGTCTTCATCCTCCGTTGTGCCCCCACAAGTGTACCATCACTATCGACCCCGCCCGCCTTCAGCAGCCCTATCCCTGCCCTCGCCTCCTCAGGCTTGCTTGCCACCGCCACCAAGTCCAAGTCTACCCCGCCCGATGGTAAGAACATGGCACAACTCTCTCTAGCTGGGCGGCGAGGAGTAGATGTGGCTCGATCCCACCTCGCTCGAGCACAAGAACTCGGTGAGGACTGACGACGAGGAGTGGACGTGGCCCCAACTGCCGCCTCGACCTGCCCTCGTCTCCTTGGGGCCTTGCTGCATTTGTAATCATCTTTTAGTTTTGGTGATCAAGATGACAATACAAACTTAGATCTAACATGTATGCTAAAGATGTGTTAGACATGTTATAATAAGTTATAGGGATATGCAACGTTAAAATTTGATCAAGATCTGAGTTGAAATAGAGAAGAAATGGCGAAATTTCCTTGCTAGACAGGATCATATGGTGGAGTCTAGTATGTCAGCTAGGAAACAGTGCGCCTATCAGATGATACGACGAAAAAAATCACCCTACGGATCGTCCGGTGCACATCAGATAACTGGCAGAGTTGAATATTGTGTTTCTACAATCCATCCACCGTCTCAAGTCATTCAAGATCACATCTAAGACTCAGATAGACACTATAGTGCATCCTTGTAAGATTTAGGTCTTAGAGCTTGAGAGCTTTGAGTAATTGGAGCGTGTTACCATATCTTGGCGATTCAGAGTGCTTGAGATTTTTGTGACCTTCTGGTGAAGGCATAGTGGCTCAAGGCGGTGACCCCCATTTTTAATGTGGAGCGGCGTCGTATCTGTGTGGAGGAAATGAGGAGACATCCTCTTTCGTGTGGGTAAGCTCCATAGCGGACACAATATCAAGGAGTCTGAAAGAGCAAGGTGGATAAGTCATGTTGTCTTTTCTAGGTATGATACAACTTGTGCTACGTACTATGGCTTATAATTTAGAACAGAAAGGTAATAAGTATAAGCTAAAGATGTGTTTGGTTCACCGCCTAGCTTTGCCACACTATGCTTATGGCTCACCACAAAAACTTGGTTGTTGGTTGGTTGTTCCATAAGCTGTGGGCTGCAACATGGCACAAGATTCATATTTGATTCACGTATAAACTTCCACAGGTGTGGAGCCCACTGTGCCACGGTGACGCCACAAATAGGACGTGGCGTGTAACGGCTATGAACCAAGTAGACACATATATATGATGAATTTTACTATATTACGATAATAAATTATTTGAGAAACTATAATAAATCTCATAAATTAGTACAATCGATATAGCAGGTAAACATAAAAAAGTTACCGGAGACAAAATTCTAATAACCGTGATAAAAGATGGATTCTCAGATCCTCCTACAACAAAAAACCAAAGCCTTTTGTCCTGGAAAAAAGTTAGATCATCGTTCTACTTTTCTTTTGGGCGAGAACCCAATTCAATATACATATGTCATCGGTCTTGTGCTTCCTTGCTTTGCCTTCTGAAGCATTGAAGTCGATCAGCAAGAATGCATGTTCTATGCTGAAGCCACCGATTGAGCATCTGACAATCCTGCAGCATGGTTATCTTTCTCGCCTGACCGTCGTTTCATCAACTTCTTCATGATTTCCTCCTCCTTCATGTCGACAAACTTTACGATCTCTTTGCAGCTGCCAAGGCCTAACAGCCTCCGCTGTCTTTTGCCAGCACCATCAGCGCCAGCTGCATTGGGCTCGTCAGCATCTTCAGAATTGGAGTACTGCTTGTACTGCCAGCAGACTTGAATGAAGAACATCACCAGAGCTAAGAGACAGATCAGGGCACAGATGAGGAAAAGGCCCCAGAAGCTTCCGAGGCCAAGCCTGGTTGCTCCCAGATTGCTCTCATCGTCGGTGGCGCAGCTCGGCTTTGTGAACCACTCGTCATGGATGCTCTGAAGCTTGCCACTCTCTGAAAGCTGAAGGATGGCGGTTGACATATCTGCAGCAAGGGGAGTCTTTCTGGAATGCCTGCAAAGAAAAAAGTCAAAAACAATGGACACATGCTTCCTTGAGATGCAATGTAACAGGACAAATGCCCAAATGAAAGCGAATGAAAGGCATATATAACAAATTATTAAAAAAGAAGGCACAGAACAAGATAAAGGCGATGAACATACAAATCCCCATCCTTCCCTTGTGAACTGCTGTCCCACAATCTTGAAGTTGCAGTAGTGTGACAGGAAGATATCGATATCTGACTTCTCATCGATAATCGCAGCAACACCGCCATTTTTGGTCCACGGGTAAGGGCATCAGCGTATTCCTGGATCGTGTTCAGTTGCACCAATCGAGACTCAGGAACGTTGAGGTTTATCATCAGGTATTTCTTGGTGAATTTTCCGGTCTGGTATCCAATAGGTAAAGAGCTTGATATGAGACTGTCAAGTCCTGTAATTCCTGTCGCGAGCTGTTGGACCGTCAGGATTGACGTCAAGCTGGCAGTGTAGCTTGAAGTGATGATCAACACGACGAACATCCATATGATCAGCACAAAACGCCCAAGCGCGGTTCTGGTGTCCTGCCCTGAAGGTGAGAGTTTTTTAGTCAAGAAATTTGTCCCCATGCAGTGAAAAAAAAATCATGGGGAAGTTGATGTCATTGAGGCATCTAGTAGTGGTCTTACTGTGTGAGAAGAACATTGTTGAGAAGCTGAACCTGAAAGAGAAGCACACAATGTATATATGGTTAACTCCTAAAGTTAGCAACTAAGCATTCAGAAAAGAACACAAATAGAAAAGGAGAAAATTGAATAAAGCTACAAACATTTTGACCCATATAATGGTATTGCCAGTATGAATTTTGACTAAAGCCAGGTATGGTAATAAACTAGGATAAAACACATCCGTAGATAGAGGCTCAGAAGCAACAGAGACGACGTACCAGAATATTGTTATGATTTGATTACGTGGAGGCCCTCGAAATTCCTCATTAGTCCGATGTTCGAGTAGCCACACCACAATTCCCACCAAAATGAAAAGAGCGCCAGTGACAAACCACATCTCCCATGTGAAAGGTTTAAGGAAAGCCCAGGCGCTTGAGCTTACATGTTTCACCGGTGCCACTATCACAAGCCCTGAATCAATGTAAGGCTGTGTGTACTCTGCAAGCCGTGTTCCATTTCTCACTATCGCAAAGTCGCCTACAGCTGCATCAAGTGTCTGAATGAAAATGAAACAAACAAATCAGAGGATTTTCAACAAATTAAAGCTAATGGTGAAACAAACTGGGATGACAAAGAATGAGGACATACATTGGAAGCAACCATCCCAACAATGCCGACGTAACTAGGGTTCTTTGTGCCATCCCCAATAGGTACAAACCGGTAAGGAACTGGGTAAGGGAGCAGTTTAATTGCTGACTTGAAAACATCAATGCAGTAACCCCTCACAGTATCAGGGCTACTGCCTGACACCAATGTCTTGAAGCTTGGTTTAACTGGGACCCCAACTCTGAGAGGCTGGCCATTGTTTGGAAACACCCAGCCCCTAGGTATATCAGTTGAATCACCAGGCCATACCACATTCTTCAGCTGATAGGCACTGGATGCATTTGATGGCATCTGATACAAAATTTCAGGAGCAGCCACAGAAAGGCCTGAATAGTTGGACCAATAGCCGACTAAGCTGGAGCCGGAACGGCCAACATTGAGGATATCATAAGCTGGGCGTACCAAATTGCCGCCTGAATCAAATCGGACTGGACCTGTTAGACCTGTGAAGTTTGTGAGGAGAAGTTGCTGCAGCATCTGGTCACCACCATCGAATATCTTGAGAGTTGACAGACGCAAAGTGGTGCCGTTTGCATCATGCAGCCTTGGATCTGTTGAGAAGTTGATCTGTTGCCCAGCATTGAGAAATTGGTCGACAGAGCGAGCAACGGCCCAAACTGAGTCATAAGCATAGAAAGCATATGAGTTCAGTCCAGAAGTCATACTTCTGTTATGAGCCACAGTGTTCCATCTAGATATGAACTTTTTCTTGGCATCAGAATCAGGAGTGTGCTGACGAAGAACAATTACTCCCTGAATATTACTAATGTATTTAGGATCTCTAGATGCGGGGGAGGAATCGAGGACAGCAGCTAGCCAATCAGTTACTATCCAGACATAGCCACTGGCCATCATCTGGAGCTTCTTAGCTGCAGAAAATACCCTCAAACCTGTGTCAGGATTGACATGCACAACCATGACCCTTGATTCCATCATGTTTGCTCTAAACAGTACATCACGGATCACATCTGTGTTTGAATTTGGAGGAATAGCTGCTTTATATGAAACTTGTGCCCTCTTCAATGCAAGCGCATCGCCGAGAGCCGAGACGCCACCTCGCCC